CACCAAGGTCCTCTTATATTTATACTATTTATAAATTAACCAGAGATGTGCAGGCTCCTTTCGGATCGGTTTGGGGTTAACTTTAAAACAAATGCCTGAAAAGAATTAATTTTAAATTTAGCCATATTCCAATACTCTCCTGGGAATATGCCTTTTTTTAATTCCCCAAACTGAAGCATTCCTATTGTCTTTGTGTAAGGAAAACCTGCTTAGCCCAGCAGTCTGACAGCCTACACATGCTAGGCCTTTGGCACTCCTTCATTCCTTCTCTGTCTGTGTCATGCTGACTCACTCTGCAGTGACATTATAACAAATGATTTGAGAGCATTGTGTCTTGATACAGCATGCCCTTTGGAAAGAAAGTGCTGGTATTCACAGCCAGCAAAGCCTCCTCTTGGTAGCTCTGGCAGATTACAGTACTGCCCTGCCCTAATTAGGAGTTTATTGCTCAACAGTCAGTGACTGTCATAATATACTCTACTTCCCTTGCAGTTATTTGTGTTAAGCAGCCAGTTGAGTAGATTCTCAGCTTCCACTTCATAAATGCTTCGACATAGTTTGATATTCGATCTCAGGGCTCATTCCACCTGCTATCCACACAAACCCGGCCAGAAAATACCTATATCAGCATAAAGTGTACGGTATTGTCCCTATTAATAATTTCTAAATTGTCATAGACATCCAATGGTGATGCTGTTATTTACTCTATACCTTTCTCACATTCCTAGACTGAAGTGACGAGGGGGGGCATGATAGCAGTGTTCCAATATCTCAGGGGCTGCCACAAAGAAGAGGGAGTCAAGCTATTTTCCAAAGCGCCTGAAGGCAGGACAAGAAGCAACGGGTGGAAACTAACCAAAGAGATAAGCAACCTAGAACTAAGGAGAAACTTCCTGACAGTTAGAACAATTAACCAGTGGAACAACCTGCCTCCAGAAGCGGTGAATGCTCCAACACTGGAAGTTTTTAAGAAGAGACTGGACAGCCATTTGTCTGAAACGGTATAGGGTTACCTGCCTGAGCAGGGGGTTGGACTTGATGACCTCCAAGGTCCCTTCCAACTTTACTATGATGATGATGATGATGATGATGATGATGATGATGATCAAAAGATTTACAATATCTGACTGCTAAAAAAAATATCTTGTGTTTCAACAACAATTCACTATATATTTTGAAAATAGTTACACAGTAACATATTGGCTATATAACCATAATTTAATAAAAGATATACTGTATGTCCTTTTTTAAAAAAAAAAACCCTATCATTGAGCTAGCTCTACCTTTAACTATTTTCTATAGTTATCTATTTTGTAGTCTATTTAAAATCAGTATTGGCTGTTGAGATTCTCCTAAAGCAAAACATAGGATTGCATGGTGCAAAACACATCTTAAAATAAAATTGCCGCAGCCGTCAATTTTTCTAATAGTCAGCAGTTTTTAAAGGGATGAAAAAATTCTTCAGCCTAACAATGCTCTCTGTAAGAAAGCTGACAATTCTCATACAAATGACTAGAATGCTTGAATGCACTGTAGATGTCACAAGAAGCTATGATTATTTTAATACAAAATAAATAGCACTCCCTGATTGTTTTTTCAATGTTGAATTTATCTTACTGTGTATATTTCATTTTATAACACATTTCCCCCCAATACATCTATGTTCTTGGTCCTTTTCTGAAATGCAGTACTAATGATGGTTAGATTTGACAGGGGTGCATGATGAAATAGCTTATTGATGTGATTCTCCTTTTGAGGGGAGACAAATGGAATTTCACACAACATACCAATGATCACAATACATGAGAGCATTGGCTGCACTGCTAAATCAGACGCCACAGGCAAGAGACAAACGGTATTGCATTCTACTGAGGGCTATGAAAACACGTACAAGCTGGAAAGATCATAGTTAATACTGAAAAAAATCTAATTAAAAAGATTATAGTTAATAGTTGCTTTGTTTCTTTCCATTTCATTGACATCAGGAAATAGGTGCATCATGTGGATGAACATTACAGATTTAAAAAAGAAATGAGAACCTATAGTAATTACCAGACAAAACATACTTGCATATTCTTTTCACTTGATAATATGCTTTTTTGTACACAGTTTTCTTTAAAGCTATAGAAAAATAATCCTTTATTCTAACCCAGCTGGGATTCTACTGACATTAGTCGAAGTATAAGGGGAGCTGAAATGAAATATAGATTGAGCAGCAGAATATAGACAGAATTTTAGGTACCCGATTCTGTAATACTAAAATTGAAAGGTAAATCCCAGCAACCTGAATCGAATTTATTTCTTAATAAGGATGAACAAATCTGACCATTTTAGTTCTTCATTTTTTTCAGATCTTTCCATTTTGCTTTTGTCTTGATTTCTCATCTTCTATTTGTAATGCTCTTCTACTTAAAAAACAACCCCACCCCCCAAAAAAACCTTTATAGTAAAACAGGTATGACCTTTTGGCCACTTTTATCCAGATATTTACAGTGTTGTGTCATGTATAATCTTAGCACTGACTAGCACTGATGACGTTACCTAATAATGAAATGTCTGCAAGAAAACTACCAAAACGACTCTCTGAGCATCAAGGACTCCTCATGTGTAATCTTATGCTAACATTTTTCCTAATATTATCATTTTTAGACATTATATTAATTATAACTAATTTTTACAATTTTTCATAACAATAAGGTTTGCAACAGCAAAAATTGCAAAATTTGGAGAAATGCTAATTTTGAAGCATAGTATTTTCAGTACTGGTTCCAAAATGCAAACTGCACAATTATCTCCTTCCTCCCTTTCCTTGGGAAAGAAGTTTAATTTAGCAGCTTTAATAAGTAGATGTTGAGATTTTGATGATATAACAATACTGAAAATGTAAGAATTAATATCCCAGAGCCCAGAAATGATTGAAGAATTACAGGCTTATGACATCCCAGAGAGATTTCAGATTAGAATTTCAGGATCTGAAATAGATTTTTGCAGATGTGTTATGCCACAGTTCTCATTGTTAGACCATACCAGCTAGGGCAGTGATGGCGAACCTTTTAGAGACTGAGTGCCCAAACTGCAACCCAAAACCCACTTATGTATCGTCGAGTGCCTGGTGGGTGTGGCCCATTGGCTGGGTGTGGCCCATTGGCTGGGCGTGGCCAATTGGGTGAGCGTGGCCCATTGGGTGGGCATGGCTGTGGTGGTAACGGCAGACTGGGTGGGACTAAAAAGTTTAATCAATTTCAACTTTGCAAGATCTTTTTTTTTCCCGCGAGAAGTTGAAATTGACAGATTGAGCCTTTTTTTTTTTTTTGCACACGGCAGCGGAGGCCTAAAGCGAAAAAGTTTTATAAAACCCAGCTGAAGGCCTAAGACTGGGGCGAAACCACGTGTGCCCACAGAAAGGGCTTTGCGTGGCCCCTCTGGCACCCGTGCCACTGAGCTAGGGGATACAAGTTGTAATGAGATGGTATCAGAAACATGGCCTCAAGATAAGCAGACACCTCTTAATCTAAACATTGGTGCTAAATTGCTAATTCCTTTCTTACCTTGCTAGTTTTCTAAAAGTGATCTCTGCTTTCTGAAAGATAATCCAATCTTTCTCTGGTTATAGGTATTTCCTCTATAAATTGCATGCCAGATGATTGGCTTCTATTAACAGTCAATCCAGTCTCTGGGATCATTTTGTAATTTTACAAATACCATATTGATTTGAAGATGAGACCTGTTTTCCCCAATAGATATCTAACTTATATTCTCTGAAGGTTTGGCAATAAAAGAAATTGTTATAAAAAGCAAACAAATGGAGGTACAAAAACTAAAGCTGCTGCTTTTAGTAGGATGGACAAGTATACTGCCCCTGTACTCTTCTTATCATTCTTATCTATCCATGGAGGCTTTCTACATCAGTGGTTCTCAACCTTTTTAATGCCACGACCCCAACCGGTCGTAAGCCGAGGACTACTCAACCGGTCATAAGTCGAGGACTACTCAACTGGTGTAGCACCGTTTGCAGAATGGGACTTTTGGCGGGCTCAGCAGGGCAGAGACAGCCTGGACAATTCCTAATGGCTTTTGAAAGCCAATAGAATTAGACTCTATTCAAGAGAGTCTATTCTATTGGCTTTCAAAAGCCAATAGAATAAAAGGGAGTAGCACAGCTAAAGAAAAGGGGGAAAAAATGGTGGACTGCGTTGTTTGGCGACCTCTGTGAAATGGTCATTCGACCCCAAATGGGGTCCCGACCCACAGGTTGAGAACCACTGTTCTACATTAATGAAAAATCAGGATCCTGAACTGCTTGATAGATACTTATCCTGAAAATATAAATAACAAAAGGACTAAATGTCTTCAACATACTGAGACTAAGAACCATTGAAACCACTGATATTTACTACAAAGTAAACATGCATAGACTTTTCTGGTTGCTTGTGGTCCAGCAACAATACCTCTGTTCCCTAGAGAGTTTCATAAGAGGTAAAAAATGTTCTTTTCCAAAAATTCTAAGATTCAAAGTATTAGAAGACTGGCACTGTTCATCCCTACATATGTTTCATTACATTTCTGGAAAAATTCATATTCCATAACAAAGGCAAACTTTAATTATTCCCTGTGAATTCTTTTTTTTTCAGCCTAAGGATAAACTTAAACATAAATCATTATTACTACTAGTTCTAACCAACTGTCTTTAACTGTCACAAGCCTAGATGTTTATTGGATCATTTATTCTAATAAATAAGGCTTGCCTCACCACCTTACCTCTTGGAATGACACTCTTTTTGCAATTCTTTCATTGCTTCCATCATAATTTTTAAGCCTTTAAACATATCAGTTTATACAGACGGTGTGATGGATGAGGAGACCACACAACAGGATAATGCTAAACTGATATGAATATAAGTATTATACAAACATATCACATACGGAAGCAATTAAGTATGTACAGATTCATAGCAAAAGACCACATATAAGCCTCCTTGAAATTATCTTTCTTGTTTTAGAAAGTTGGCGGACAAGAGAGAACAGATGAAATGAAATGCCAGGAAAAGTTTTCACACTAGAAATTTGAAGCAGCTTTGTATGAGTCTATGAGATAAATCCTGGTCTAAAATGTCAATATGAACTTCTTTTTCTTTTCTTTTTTTTGCTTTCTTTCATTTTTCCATCTTGAGAAAATATATATCTTTATTTATAGTATGAGATGTGGTCAATAAAGCATCCTACTGAATGTCTGGCTATAATCCATATTTTAGAAAAAAGAGCTTTGTTCTAAAATGTTGACACCAAAATGTCTAAAGTAGTTTGTAGAGAATTTCCTGTTGGTGAACAAACAAAAGTATAGCATTATTGGCTTTTGGTTAATATTTGCAGAATTTTCTCTTGAATCATCTCCAGAACATGACAAATTCAAGGTGCCCAAAAAACAAACTGTATTTTAAACATGCATAAAGACAAAGTGCTTCAGACATGAAACCCATATACCCGTGGCTAGTACATGAACTGAAATCAGACACATTCCCAATTTATGATCCTCCCCCTGGGTAAAGCCCACGGGATGCTGACTGGACATTGGTAAGGCCTTCCTGATATTTTAATTCTCTTTCAGGGGAAGAAGTGCAATTGACTTCCATATGTCGAATAAGAAATAATGTTGCTTTAAAACTAAAGTATTGTTATGTTCCTAATGATTGTTTAACATATTGGGTTGTTAAAGCTATTACTGGAAGCTTTGTTGTACAGCAATGTTATAGTTGTATTATTTTGCACAATTATTATTTTGATATACTATCCTGGACAACTCTGAGAGAAAGACAGGAATGATACTCTAATCGTTATTTAATTATTTTGTTTGTTCATTCCTCACATTTATGTAGCCGACAATCTCACAAACGTGGCTCTGGGTGACCATAAAACCAAAATCAAAACATTTCACAATAAGAACATCAGTATTATTAACAGACTAAAAGAGAGTATCTTTGGTGCTTCAAAAACTAAACCACAGATTGTAAAAAGTTTATATAGCCTTCTGTGAGGTTACCAGTATCTGAAATAAAAACGGAGGCACTATTAGCCTTTTGGGGGAGGGAGGGTCCACCCTTCTCAATTTGCAGAAAGCATATTTTAAAGAAAGACATTATAGCATTTTGATTGCCTTATCTATATACACTCAGGTCCCTTTATCCAGAGACAGACAGGCCGAGTTCATAAAGAAGGACTAAAGAAATCTGAAAGGGGTTGGTCATAGAGCCCTTTTGCTCACTAACTGAGCAGAGAACAAACATTCACATAAGCCATTTGTATTCAACAGTAAACAAGTTAAGGCAACTGCATGCAGGGCAGGATTACTGCCATCAGAACATGGAAAAATGTCAAAGTGTGCATGAGTGACGCCAAGGCTTCTGACAAAACTCGTCAACTGCTCTTGACTCATTGTGGGTGGTTTATTGCAAATCCCAAGACAAAATATCAGTTGCCCATATTCTTGTCTTCTCCATCAGTCTTCTCCTCTTGCTTTATTAACATTGTTCTCTCTTAAATAACTCCCTGTTCTATATTTGAAATTTTCTCTAATGTAACAGAAGCTCTGAGGTTTCTTTCCTGTCTGTCTCCAAAATCATAAGCTTTGGACCAATCTACCTTCAGCTGAAACAACCTGAGGTACATATATTAGCCTTTACTGCTGTTTTTCTTTCCTACTCTTTCCTTCCTGATACTATTTTTTTTTCAACCACCCTGTGCAGTCTAAATATAGAGTAATACTTCCTTAAGGAAAAACTTCATACACTACGTACTAAAGCACTCTCCCATGCATGTTGATAAAAAAAAATCCAAACCCTACAGATTGTTAAAACTTCAAGGTTTAAGTTCCTAAGGTTATTATCATTGTTGTTCATTATTACATAAATAATTGTACTTTTCTATTTTTCTTCCTCCAAAGGGAGCTCAAACAACGTCCCTCCTCCATCAAAAACAACCAAACATAATGCAAACTCTCTTAAATCGAGGCAGTACCATTAGTTCATGAGATCAGGCCTTTTCGCACCCTTGAACTGAAGTGCTATTCATCATATTTAAGCCAGGTGAAAATTATACCAGTATAAAATTGGTTGTCTTGATTGCAGCTCCCTATCCCTACATAGGGGTTTCAAAGCAGTGAAACAGAAGTAGAGTTCAAAGTGCTAAAATTTTATTTCATGCTACCTATACACAAGAATTTGATCTACTAACAGTCAAGCCAAATTGGTACTAGATAAGGGTCTATGGCAAGGTAGGCAACCTTCGCTCTTTTATGACTTGTGGACTTCAATGCTGGCTCAGGAATTTTGGGAGTTGAAGTCCACGAGTCATAAAAGAGCCAAGATTGCCTACCCCTGGTCTACGGGGTTCACAGGGGGTGGGTGGATTTAAGTGTCTTGTGGGAATGACTCCAAACTGATGATGCATTTGACCCCACTCTTGGGCTCTGCCTGGTCATCTCCTATAGATGATTTTGTAATAAGGATAACTTAAAGCTGTCTTGCTCATTGGCCGGGCAGGTTGACTGCCTGTCAAGCGGTCATGCACTGCAGGAGCATCTCCGCTCCCAAACAGCTTGACTCCTGAACCACGAGTAGCCCCCAGCCTAGGATGTTCTAAAAGCTTTGAAATGTCTGTCTGTCTTAGAAAGCCTTTGGAGTTCCATTGCTCTTCAGCTCAGATATATGTTGCTTACAGCCAGTCAGACTGAAGCTATGCTGTATGTAAACCCTACAAATAAGCAGACATCCTGGACAAGCAGAAAAAGAACGTTCTGAGAATATGTTTGCACCATGATTAGAGGCAAATGGGGAAAATCCCTTCAAAGAGATATCAGAAGAGAGATATTTCCAATGCTGACTCTAATCTTCCTCCCAAGAAACTGGAATGCATTATATACTCCCAGGTGACGTGAGCTTGCTGGAACTCTACAAATGCTTGGCCCACAAATGCCAATAGAGTAAAGTTCTTTTCTATGTCAGAAAAGGGGAAAGGCCCTGTTGCGTTTTTATAGAAGCTTAGGACCATGGCCATATTTGGCATGGCTGCCATTTTGGATTTGTGGAAACTGCAAAGATGATCCAATTTTGTCATTGGAAGCTTTATTTTTTCTCTCTCCCAGTTTTGCCAAGGAGTTGACAGAAAACTGTCCTGGAATCCTTGGGAGTAGTGAGAAGATGAGCAAGTTGACTCTTGCCCTTCCCTTTACCTAATGTAATAAGAAATTAAGCTTTGCCTTTTGTTTCCCTTTTCTGGGTGGAATTGGAATTCCGTTGCTTAAGCTAAAAGGGCAGTTTGACCTGGTCTTGGAATTGTCCTCGTGTATTCCCTTTCGTGACTGAAGAATTTAGAAACATTGAAAATCAATGCCCAAATAAATGGCCTGTGGCTAATTCTAAAATTAGGAAGGAGCAGATAATGTTTTATTAGAGCCAAGCCTTTTCCCACAGCCTCTGTAATCCAGTTCCCGCCCTCACTTTTCCAAATAAGGTTTACAGAAAAGGTGCGGTTTCATGATGACTCATGGGTGGATTCTTGCCAAATAACAGAATGTAAAACAACAACGTTCTGCTTCCTCCTAGTAAAATGAGATTGTTCAGATCTCCAAAGCATTGTTATCTGTGCACAAATTGTATTCCTTTGTTATCACATCCTTCCTTTGAAGTACAAGGTTTGGTGTAAATGGCTTGCCCCATTTTATCACCACAAGAGCTAGGCTGGAATGTCAGTCATCAAACATCTCTGAAGGAATTTGAACTGAGCATTTAGCTTTCATAAACCTTTGGGTCCTAGAAAGTACTTTTTACAGGAGTGAAAGGTGAGATAACAGCTTTAAGTCAAATCATATCTCTCGTTAGTTTCAGGCACCATACATACAATCCTATTTCTTTTTTTGCATCTGAAAAAGTATGAATGGATCTGAATACAACTGAAAGGTTTTATTGGTACCAATTATAGAGCATAGTCTATGTGAAATACCATTTTTGTAATACTGGCAGTGTTCAAATTTAGTCAGGGTATCTCAAGAAAAACATAACATTGCCTAATAAAATGCAAAAATAGCCCTGTACTCTAGATTTGTGCTCTTTACTAAAGAGCAAACTTTGATTGTTTTACCTCCTGTGAGAAATGATAACACGATCATTCTCCACATCGTACGCTGATGTTAGCATCCCAGCCTACTCTTCCAACTTGGCTTAATTCAGCCTTTGCTTAATATCTACTATGCAGCCACATTTTGCTGAATCTACTGATGCATTACGTTGTGACTAACTTTTAAGGGAACTCTAAAAGTTACCTTTTTTCACTGAGTAATTATTTCCCTTGCTATTTTTTTTCCTGCTGTATAATGCAGAATGTCTATCAAGGGTGCCCTGGCCTGTCCACAGAGATGGTCTGAGTTATTATCTTAGCAATAGCTATGTATTATAGAAATGATCCATGCATTTGAATATGAGATGTGAATTATGAATGGAATGAAGATATTAAAAGCCCCAGCCATGAAGGCCTTGCAAAAGATGTTTAGATATTGTGATATATTGTTAGACTTCCGGGGAGACCAGACAGGAAATAAGACCAGATCAGGGGTGTCAAACTTGCTATGTCACGTGATGTGTCGCGACATAACTTTTTTCTATTGCCGGCAATGGGGAAGGCATGGTTTCGCCATGACGTATCCGGCCCACGGGACAGCAGTTTGACACCCCTGGATTAGATGAACTAATTCTACTTTATTGTAAGGCTACATTTTGTAAATCTGAAGGCACAAACATCCCATTGCCATATTTAACTGCTTAATCCAGGGGTCTTCAGACTTGGCCCTTTTATGACTTGTGGACTTCAACTCCCAGAATTCCTCAGCCAGGCACACTGGCTGAGGAATTCTGGGAGTTGAAGTCCACAAGTCATAAAAGGGCCAAGTTTGAAGACTCTTGGATTAATCCATTAGGGTGGGTCCTTCTTAGGTTTATTTCTCTTGACTATTAAGCCACTGGAAGCTCCTGCCTGTGTTGTCTGATTATTGTTTAGGCAGCTTCTACTCCTCTTTCCCAATGTGTCCATACCTTCAAAGATCAGAATAGTGGAAGCAACAATATTCCATGTGATACCCTATGGAAGCAAAACTTGGACTTTGAAGAAGCAGGATAGAAACCGTTTTGCTACTTTTGCAATTTGATATTGGGGAATACTCCCGAGAATACCATAGATAAGAAAAGAAACCAGTGGATTACTGATCAACCCAGAGATCTCATTTGAGGCAAAAATGTTCATACTCATTGTGCAAGAAATTTCTTTGGACAAGGCTGTAATGCTGGGAAAGGCGGAAGAAATTAAAGAAGACAATTATCGGTAGCAGCAAGGTGGATGGACTCAGTTATAGTGACAATTGGTACAATGTTGGAGAATTTGAAGGGCTAAGTTAGGGAGACATCATAGTGTGTGAAAATCCATCTATATGGTAGCTAAGCGTCAGCAACAACTCGATGGCACATAATCAGTCAAACAAACAAACAATGGAAACGGGACGAAGTGGCAGTTAACTTCTTTCTCTCAAATCTCCCAAGACACTTTTCTTTATACACTTCCAAATCTGTACTTTAAATTCTCCTATCCCATTCATTCCCAATTTGTGCCATACCGATATTGTTGAACTAAAAATGCAGTGATGATTGATTGCAAGGATCCTCCTTGATTATAATCCAAGACAGCTGGACCAATTTAGTTGAAAGGAAATATATTGGGTAAATATCAGCAATTCTGTTCTTTTTGGTAGCAGTACATATGGCTGCAAGTAAATAAAGAAAACAAACAGCAAAACCCCATCCTCTACATATCCTCCCCCATCATCAACTCAGTTCCAATTTCTTCTTCTTGTGCTATATTCGTTATTGGACGTTGGCGATCATGTTGGCGATCCTGTTTTTATCAGCAGCCGCACGAAAAAGTCCTGCTGAGTTTTGTCCAAACCAGTCCCTTAGATTTTGAAGCCATGACATTCTTCTTCTGCCTGGACCTCGTTTGCCTTCAATCTTTCCCAATGAACAGGTCAAATTTGTTTTCCCCCAAAAGGTCTTTTCTGTCTACTCACTCTTTATAGCACGTAAAACAAAGTCAGAGAGCCAACTGGGGGTGTTGCAGCACCAAAGATTTTCAAGGTACCTGAAATCCTATCTACTGAGATGTCTTTGTCTTAATAAATGTGTTTATCATCAGACTGCTGGGGACTTTTTATTTCAAAATAATTAAATAGCCATACATTTGAAGAAATCAGTCTTCATCTCCATATGTCTTCCATGAAATTTAAATGTCAAAATCCCAGGCACCTTTTCTCCCAGCCACTTTAGAAGGAGACTGTTAGCAAAAGGCCTGGGCATCAATTTAAATACCTTGATAATCTTGCAAGTACAACCTAATATGGACAGTAAAATGGATGACCCATACTGTGGCATGCCATTATGCATTTTACACAAGACATTGTGATATCTCATGCTTCTGGGTTTCTGTTTGGAATTGGGTGGTGTGAGAGAGCGAAGTTGAGCTCTTTTCAAAAGTGGCTGCAGTCAGGCAGACAAGTCACACACACACACACACACACACACACACACAGACACACACACCCCTTACTTCAGGCATTCTCCATTCCCCAAGAACTGCACTCAAAGGCATCCAAGCCACTGTCCCAGCTGCCTGGCTAATTAAGCCAAACCTGGTGTTTTCAAGGACATGCTGACCCATCCAGAGGCAGCCTCATCCCACTCAGTCCTTTGAGTTTACAGAAGCAAATGCCAAGACCAAGTGGGAGGGGGGGGGTGTGGAGCAGGAAAAGTGAAAACAAGGCTTACCAACGAGGAATCGAGGAAGCCACATCTTGTGATCGGCAGCTTCTACAATCAGGCAAGAGGACTTTCATTCAACTGTGAGGATCTCAAGCAGTTGGTGGGAGTTGCCTGGAGCTCTGCAAAAATTAGAAAAGGAGCAACCATAAAGAAACAGCAATTTGTCCCAACTAGTGTAAGAACATTTGAGAAAAGGCAAAGGTTGCATGTTACTTTAAAGCAGGGGTCTTCAAACTTGGCCCTTTTATGACTTGTGGACTTCAACTCCCAGAATTCCTCAGCCAGGCATGCTGGCTGAGGAATTCTGGGAGTTGAAGTCCACAAGTCATAAAAGGGCCAAGTTTGAAGACCCCTGCTTTAAAGTCTTTGAGACTTTGGTCTGAACTGAGCATTAAAAGACTGTGTATTAAAGGAGAGAGTGCTAAAGACATATTTGCCAGGCAACATCACCTTGCAAAGTCCTAGAAGGCTGAAGTTGACCCAGAGCAGTAGCTTGTTTTTGCAGAAGGTGTGTGCTGCAATAAAGTATTGTGCACAGATTTGCTACACTGTCCAGTCCTTGGAGAGCAAAGAACCCTCACGGGCGTGTGAATGTGTGTGCAGTTTTCATTATTTCATTTGTTCTTAATTAGAATTTACAGCAGGAAATAATGTGCCAGACCATTACTGTTGTTTATAAGTCCATATATTTGCAGCTGCTAACTCGCCACCCAATCTCCTCTAATAACTTCCTTCCTCTATACTGGAATCCTCTGACTAACCAAATGCCTGTTATTTACTCCTGTCTCCCTTTAGAATCAAACCCTTTGTTTTTCCATTACTTCTTCCTCTTCCTGTTCATTAACAAACATCAGGAAAAAAAAGAACTTACCCCTGGTTCGCCGTTGTTGCAACAACCTTGATTTATAAAAATTGAATGATTCATAGCAATACAGGCTTGCTTAGAGAAGATGAGAATCTCTTTAAACAAGTAAAAGATCAAAGGCGAACTCATATTAAGAGAATTTACGGGGTTCTAGTGGAACTGGATTCAGAATCAGAATTAATCAAAGATTGTATGATTAAATGGGCACAAAATTTTGGTGAACCAGTTCTATTGGATACCTGGGAAATTATCTGGGTGAGAAATGTTAAATTTACGCAAGCCCAGAACTTAAGGGAGAATTTTTATAAAATGTTTTATAGATGGCACCTTGATCCACAAAAAATGTCTCGTATGTATCCTGACTTACAGCCTAAATGTTGGAGATGTGGATGTTTGGATGCTACTTACTATCATATCTGGTGGTCGTGTAAAAATATAAAAGCTTTTTGGATTAAGATATGGTGGAATATTCAAAGAATTTTTAGAAGGAGGGTAAAATTTACCCCACAATTATTTTTGTTAGGTATTGTTACTGATTGTGATACTAAAGAGATTATATTGATGTTAAATTTAATTACAGCCGCAAGGCTGTTAGTAGGGCAATATTGGAAGAAGGAATCTTTGCCTACCTTGCAAGAGTGGTTTTTTAAAGTTTCTTATCTGGCGGAAATGGCAAAGATTTCGGCTTTTTTAAAGGAGCAATCACAAGAGAAATTTTTTGCCGTATGGGAAAAATGGATAAATTTCATACAATATAAATTGGCTATAAAAATACCATTTAGCTTTTTCATAACTTGTATTTAAATTTGATATTTTATAGATTGTATTCTTTCTTTCTTTTCTTTTCCTTTATTTCTTTTTTTTCTTTTTTTTCTAAGTATTTTTTAATGTATATGTTTTTATTGTTATATATATTTTATTGTTAATTACCTTATAAGTTGATTAATTTTTTTTTAGAATTTTAAAAATTTTAATTAAGCCTATATTCAGCTCTGGGAAGCTCGGGGGGGGGATGGAGGGGGGTGGTTTGGGAGGGTTTGGGGGAGGGTTGTTTTATTTTTTGTTGTTTTAAAAATTTTCAATAAAAAAAAAATTGAATGATTCTGCATGATGCTGGCTGAAGAGCTGTACTGCACTGTAAGCCATTTCCCCTTTTTGGAATACACCAAACTTTGGGATCAGAAAGAAAATGAAATAGAGCCTTCTTTCAAGGCTTTCAGATTTGGGCAGCAAAAATCCAGATAACCAAAATAGTGGAGAGGCTTTCGTCTCTTTCATGCCACTTGGCCATTGAGCAGATTTTTCACAATATAACCTTCCCAGAAATCCACAGGTAGCCCTTGAATTACGACCACAATTGAGCCCAACATTTAAGTTGCCAAGTGGAACATTTGTTAAGTGAGTTTTGCCCCATTTTATGACTTTTTTGCCACAGTTGTTAAGTAAATCATTGCATTTGTTAAGTTGGTAATATGGTTGTTGAAGCTGTCTTCCTCATTGACTTTGTTTGTCAGAAGGTGTTCACCTGACCCTGGGACGCTGCAGTCATCATGACTATAAAGCAGTTGCCAAGCATCCAGATTTTGATCCCATGACCATGGGGATGCTGCAACGGATGTAAGTGTTAAAAATAGTCATTAGTCCCTTTTTTTTCAATGCCCCTGTAACTTTGAACGATCACTGAATGAACTGTTGTGAATCAAGGACTACCTATATTATTCCATAAAATGTAGAACAAAAGCTCATCAAACACCCTGCCCAATCTGCTATAATATCTGTGAATTGCTGCTTCTGTGGGAAATAGCAACAGACAATAGTGCAACAGTGTAAAAAGGATTAGCTATATACACTGCTATATTAAAATGAGTTTGAATAAATTACCCCCTCTCTACACACTGCCTATGTAAGCGCCTGAAAAGTCCTGAATATCAAGGGAACAGGTGGTGCCTCTGCAGATCTGTACAAAATTATGATATTCCTTAAAGACTGAGATTAGTGCTAGGGGTAATGAGTCAATGGGAGATCAATATCAGAAGCTACAGATTAGCTGTTGAAGCTCCTGATGAAGCAGAACTGAATCAAATGTTCTGAAATAACTGTGGTTTTATATATTTCATTAGAAGACCCCTGCATGCATCTTCCATTAGCATTTAAAGCAATTGCCAGGCACTTTACATTGGGTCTTTTTTTTGGTCTTTTCCATTGTGAAGAGATGTGAAGGACATACGACTTAGATGCCTTCTCCACTATCTGTCCATAATCATTATCCCAAATGGATAAATTATCAGAGCGAAATGGCAACAAGGACCTCTTTTGAATTAGTGGACATACTAATGTGTGGACAAATCTCTGAGAAAGAAATAAATGCCAGTAACATGTTCGCTTTCCCTTTGCCCCTTTCCCTACATTCACACATACTGACAATGGAAAAGAGACTAAAGAAGCAGCATCTGAAAAAAGTCCTCTGTCTTGAGTCAAGCTCCATTTTGGATAACTGGCAACAGTATAGAACTGATTTGCCATTGCCCTCTTTCATATTTTCTTATCTTCCTACCGTAGCTTCATCTGCAACCCTAAGATTCCCTGGTGTTCCCCATCCAAGTAGTAACCAAGCCAACCTTGTTTAGCTTTGGGTCCACTAGCTGTTGCCACCAACTACAGGTCAATAGTACTGTGAAAATAGTCACATTCATCCTTTAGGGCCATAGTCTACTTCATGTGACGCACAGCTTATAGTCCTATTAATTTTAAGGTGCCACAACACTCTCTATATTTTTGCCGCAAATGTTAAGGCAGGCAGCCATTAGGAAACTCCTAACGGACTTATTTCCGAAATCTTACTAGAGAGGGAGATTACGAAGAGGAGGCCCAGCGTTTCCTGAGGAGAGCTTATTCCTCTTTGCCCAGGAAGAAATCAATTTCCAGCCTGCAGTGTAATTTTAAAAAATGATCCATTGGATCTGATAGAAAAATGTTAACTATTTTATTAAACCAGAAGATGGTAACTGTGCTTATCTACAATCGTCTGTTCTTAAAACACTGGGGCCTGGGTGATGGGAACTGAGCTAATCAAGGAATCCCCAGAGGCTGTATTTGGCTTGAATGCTATTTTAGCATAAACAACTGTATTAAAAATAATTATATGCCTTTTTGTTTAAAGGATGGGAAGAGGTAAGATGTTAGTCTATTACAGGATTGTCCTAGATACAGTCCCATTACAAACCTCGTGGCCTTCACAATTCACTCCAAAAATACTGTCAACTGACTATTTTCCCAGTGGGGAAAAATGATAGATTTTGTGCCATGAATAGGATTTTCTTCACAACAAAGCAGTGATTTGTCAAGGCTTTTGGGTTTCAAGTAACAATAAGCAACTTTTGAGTATTTGCTGCATACAAAGACACACAAATCGACAAATCTGAAGCTAATGCCAAAGTAGGAAGGTAGGTTAGCATCTTTATAGCTGAAAGTTGTCAGTGTGCTATTGCAGTCTAGCTAATTCTAATGATTCCTGTGGTTTCTTGCCATGTAAATAGCTCATGTATAGAATAACAACATTGTGTTTAGAGTCTATGTCAAAAATAGATCTGAATATACGTAGGTTTCTGTACAAATAGCATCCTCCAAAGAATTGGGCCCACCTTCTGTTAGGATTGAGGCTGTGCATCCTCAATGTAGCCTTTCAGAACAGAAAGAAAAGGGTTGTTTCATCAAAGGCAGAGACTTCTAAATAGGGTGTGAACTCCTTTGTGGAGATACCATCATGGACATCAGGGAGTGGTGCCTTGGGAATTATATGAGGGATATGTCTGTGCTTGTTTTAGTTTCTATGGCCTCAAGAATAAAAGGAAGCCGTATAAAAACAGGCAGCACATCTGCAATTACACTATCCATAAATAGATATCTGAGAGAGTCTCCTCCCACCCCGCCAGCTTTTATAATTAAAAAAAGGTAGATTTTTATCATTCAAATCTTTTTTTTAGGAGGCATGACTCCTGGAAGTTGAACTGTTTGCCTTTGTATCTTCAGTGATCCTATGTAAAGGCAGTGTTTATGATTTGCATGGGGAAAGCTCTTTTACATTGGTATTTGCTACATATCCATGATCTGCCATAATCATAGTTCAGAGGAGCACTTTTGTTAATTCAATAAACAGGCTCAGCTGCACAGCTGGCCTCAGTTCCGTGATATTGTCTGCCCCCCGTATGTTAATACTATTTCCTTTTTAGTACTATCATATTGTGCCCATCCGGACAGTAAGCTGTTACAAGAGAATATCTGGGGATTTCTGCTATTGCTTTAAATCAACCTATTTTATCACAGAAATATGATTCCTGGCTTCTACTAATCCATCCTCAGAGGTTCAAATGTTGCACAACAAAAGTAATTGCTTCTTCTTCTCGGAGACTTTTCAGATATTTTATGACTTCTGTGGCTCAACAGGGTTAAATTTCCCCTTTTACGTATTTTCCCACTCTTTGTAAAAGTTTTGGAGAGAGAACGGTGCAGAGATTTTTTTGTGTGATGTACATTGTGGCTGTAATTGGATAACAAAAGTCTACAGGTCTGCCATTAATATTTCTAGATGCCCAAAAGGCATTTGATAATGTTTCCTGGCAATTTATGATTCAGCAATTACAAATAATGGGCTTTGGACAGAATTTTACAAACATGATAAAAACAATATACAATAAACAAACAGCGAAAGTGATTGTGAATGGAGACTATACTGAGAACTTTGAGGTAAGAAAAGGTACAAGGCAAGGATGCCCATTATCTCCATTGTTATTTATTTTACTCTGGAAGTTTTAAATAGAAATATTAGACAAGTTACAGAAATTAAAGGGCTAGAATTAAAAGGCAAAACATATAAACTACAAGCATTTGCTGATGATTTAGTATTTATTTTTTTGAAGAACCTTTGGAGATGATTCCTAAACTATTGGGAAAGATAGAACAATATGGAGAAATGGCAGGACTGAAAATAAACAGAGAAAAAACCAAAGTAATAGTTAAAAACCTTACAGATAAAAAAAACAAATGTCGGAAAAAACAGCACTGCAGATAGTTAAAAAGGTCAAATATCTGGGAATACATTTAACAGCAAGATATTCAACAGTAAAAGAAGATAATTACACAATATTGAATCAAATAAAACTGGATCTGGAAAAATGGAAAAACTTGCAATTGTCAATACTAGGAAGAATTGCTACAGTGAAAATGAACATACTACCAAAACTTTTATTCTTATTTCAAACAATAACGATAAAACTTGAAAAAAATTTTTTGGGAAGACTTAAATTCACTAATTTTGAAATTTATTTGGCAAGGAAAGGAAACGAGAATTAAGATGAAATGTTACAGGATGCCAAGGAAAATGGAGGACTTGGTCTACCGGAGTAGGTTTTATATTATCAAGCATCTGCATTAACATGGGTAAAAGAATGGATAACTCTTAGAAATAAAAGGCTGTTATATCTGGAGGGGCATGATTTACAATTGGGGTGGCACGCTTTTTTATGTTATGGGAAAAATAAAGTTCATAAATATTTTCAAAATCATTATATAAGAAATGCATTATTAACAACATGGGAAAAAATAAAATCTAAAATATATTTGAAAATTCCAGGGTGGTTGTCAACAATGGAAGCATTTGACATCCAAATTTAGTGAACTTTGAAAAAATCTGGACATATAGAGATATTTTAAACTCTGAAGGGAATTTAAACAAGAAATCTAAACAAGAAATGGAAAATCAGGGTATCAATCTATCATGGTTGGCACATTTACAAATGCAAGCTAGATATGATAAAGATGTTAAACTGTATGGATTTTACAAGGAACAAACTATGTTTGATAAGACATTGTTAACTTCTGATGAGAAACTAATTAAGAAAAATGTATAATTTTCTATTAACTTTGAAAATGGAAAGCAAACAAGTTAAAGAAACAATGATAAGATTGGTGAAAAATTTTGGATATAACAGTGGTGGTGAACCTATGGCACGCGTACCAGAGGCAGCACTCAGAGCCCTCTCTGTGGGCACGCGTGCCATGTCCTGGAGATGGCAACCATCCTCTTCAACCAGCTGCCTGCTAACTCACTGAGGTCCCACGTGGCCGGATGCATCCATGCTCTCGCTGGCCTCTGTGTGCGGGGGCTGATGGTGTCAGGCAGCAGCCGCCCTGGCCCCTGCCTCGCCTTGCCCTGTGACAATGGCACCCCCACCCTGCCTTGCCTCACCTTGCCTCACCCCGCAGGACGAATCTCCTCCCACTGCCCCACCATCCAGAGACCCCCCTGGATCTCCCCCAACCCTGCCCGGCCCCCACAGGCATCCCTCCCCAGGAGCAACATTGAGCTGGCCACACCCACCCTGGCCACACCCACCCATCTGCCATGACCACCATAGCCACACCCAGCGGACCACACCCACCTGGCAGAACAATGCCCACCCGACACCTGGCAATACATAAGTGGGATTTGGATTGCAGTTTGGGCACTCGGTCTCTAAAAGGTTCGCCATCACTGGGATATAATATAGAATTAGAAAAATGGCAAAATCTATGGGAAAGAAATTACAGGCTGACAATGTTAACTTCCTACAAAGAAAACTTATATAAAATGTCTTATAGATGGCACTTGCCAGTGGCAAGATTAGCAAAAATGTTTAAAAACATGTCAGATAGATGTTGGAAATGTAAACATTAAGTTAGGCATGTATTATCATGTTTGGTGGACATGTGACAAAGTAAAGAGTTATTGCAAAAAGATTCATACCTGGCTAGAAAAGATGTTGGGAGAACAGGTAGAGTTTAAACCTGAAATTTTTTTATCAGGTATAATGCCAGAAAAGAGTAACAAACAAAGCTTATATTTGATTTTGCATGTCACAACAGTGGCAAGAATTATGTTTGCGCAATACTGGAAAAATGAAGGAATACCATCAGATGAAGAAATAATCAAAAAAATACTAGAATGCACAGAGATGGACAGACTGACTATGACAGGGCTTTTCAACCAGTGGTACGGGTACCACCTGTGGTACATTGGCACCTGGCAGGTGGTACACAAGCATCCTAGAAAAGTGGTAGTGGAGGAGGGGAATGAGCCGAACCGGTGGCAGCACTGCACAAGCCTGAGGGAGAGATGGCTGGAGCTGCAGGGCTGTAAGGGCTCAGCGGAAGTGCCAGGATCAGAGCCAGGCTCCAGCTGGAGCTCAGCTCTGATCCTGGTGCTTCTGCTGAGCCCTGAAGAAGCGCCGATCAGCTGGAATTTTGCAGCATCTCCAGGGTCTTGTGATTTACATTCAGATGCTTGGCAACTGATTCATATTTATGACGGTCACAGTGTCCCAGGGTCATGTGAAGTGACCAAAACCTGCTGCAACCACCCAGCAGACGGGGAATAAAAACCAAACATCCCCCACCCCACTCCCACTGCCAATCCTCAACAGAAATGCTCACAACAATGAAAACCTCGGACAGGAGGAAGAGCGCCTCCGGGCAGGCCGGCAGGTATCTTTGTTGGCTGTGGCTTGGGGGGCATTTTTTTTAGTGCCATTGTAACTTCAAACAGTCACTAAGCAAACTGTTGTAAGTCGAGGACTACCTGTACTTTATCACTTTTTTCCTTTTTTTTTTTTTTTTTTGGGTCATCAAATTTTTGACACCTTGCTAGGCGACTGGTGGTACTCGGATGTTGCCATATCCTAAAAGTGGTACAATGGGTGAAAAGGATGAAATGCCCTGGACTATGAGACTGAAAGAAAAAGAAAAAAAGGAATATTATCAAACTTGGGACTTATTTTATCGATGGCTAGAGGAAAGAACAAAGGATTAGGAATTAAATATGTATTAGCGAATGTAAACTCAGACAGCACGTTGGTTGAAAAATTATTACTGAATGTATGAAATAAAAAACTAATAATTTTTTTTTTAAAAAAAAAGTCTACAGGTCTGAAGATCATCAGAGATGGTACACAATAATACGCAGCAAGTCAGGAATCA